GATCTTATCTTTAGATGTACCATGAATAGAATCAACAAGGACACAACTTAAATCCATTTGGAACGTTATTTTCATCCATCCATGCCTCCACTAAAATGATGTTTTTGACAAATCTTTTATGTAATTTTTGGCTTTTCATCCAGAAAGAACCATTTATATTATAACTACTGAAGACAGTATTCATTATTGAAGACATCAATGATAGTACAACTTGAAAACATTTCATTTTTAAAGGTTTATATTCATACATTGGATATACTAAGATTAATAAAAAGGAATGTATTTTTTTTGCTTGATAGTTCAGATGGGTTATGTTTCTTAAAAGACGAGGCAGATATAAGAAGACAGGACTTAACACAGAAACAGCTATTTCACAGTGTCCATAATAATTTATTCTTAGAAATACATGGTGAAAAAGAAGCATTTCAGCCTTTCTACTAGGCTGTAAGGTTCTTAGAATTAGAACATTTGTTTCCTGTTTGCTATGCACATTATAAAGTACAAGCTTGGCTCATCAGATGTAATTTCTAAATGTTTGTTAAATGAATGATAACATAGACTCAAAGGAAAAGAATGTGTACCTTTCTCACCCTTGTTACTTCTTACTCAAAATAAGGTTTAATGATCCTTAACTATGATCTCATGTTTGTCTCTTCTAGTATCTTTGTAATTATAACTTAACACTTTAAAAAGAGAAGCCCTTAGTGGATAATTCACAGTAATCAAGAGATGCTTAACAAAGCCAAAAAGGTAACGTTTCTGTCAAGAATAATTTTCTTTGCAGGAAACATATCTTTCCAGACAGGCTGGAGTCATAAACCCAACAGCAGAGGAGGTCTGCAAATTAGAATACAACTTTCAAACCACTCTTTCTAGACCTGCCCCCATGTCAATGATTAGTGATTTTTGCCCCCTCCTTAGGATGTTCTGTACATTTTGTGGAATCATTCTGCCACTTGTGCTAATTATGTTCATAGCTAATGAATTTCTTAAACATGAGTTTAAATACAATGAATAGTTGATAATCAAATTTATGCATCAAATAGCAGTTTTTAAACCTTCAAATTATAGTTATTTATTGTCATTTCTTATTCCATATCCACAATTAAATTCCCTTAAAAATTGTAAGGGTATTTAAAAATTCATAGAATTATGCAATATTAAAAAATCTATTCATGGATTTGAAAAAGAAAATGTACTAAAATTAACTCATCTTAACTAGTTATAAGATGCCTAACAAATGTACAAATGTACTTGACACAATTGATGTATGTATAGGTGGTGATGAGTTGTGTGAGCCCAATAAAATGATTTAAAAAACCAAAAGCCAACAACAAAAGGATGGCAGAACAGGATCATTTTGAGGCACTAAAAAGGGTAAGATCAGCTTGAAAACAGCCCCTCGTTGAACAGCATGGACTCTGCTCGAAGTGAAACCCGGGCGCACGTCAACTACATCAAATTCACGGTGAAGCTTGAGTGGAAGAATGGGGAAATTCTTTGTGCTTTCTAAAAGGGCTATGGGAAATGCCCCCACATAAGTCAATTTACAAATGAATAAACTATTTTGAGAAAGGATGAAATTATATTGAACAAGAAGCCCTTAAAAGCCGACCATTCACTTCCATTTGCAAAGAAAGAATTTTGTTTGTACCTTAAGAGGGTCCATAAAAAACAGAAATTATATCTAACACTATATATATATTTCGGTTGGTGCTGTCCACACAATCCTGACTGAAAAATTAAAGTTGAGCAAACTCTTTGCTTGATAGGTATCAAACTGCTTTGCCCAGATGAGCTGCAGATAAGAGCAAAGCATTCACTGGAAAGTTTAAACTAGTAGGGTCAAGATCTTGAAGCAATGCTCGGAAGAATTCTAACAGATAAAACATGGCTTTACCAATATAGTTCTGAAGACAACACATAATCAGAGCAAGGTTGGCCAAGAGGTGGAGTGGACTAGGCAAGATCAAAAGTCTTGGTAAAAGTTTTTGGAGATGCCCATGGCATTTTGCTTGTTGTCTTTCTAAAAGGCCAGAGAAAGGGTCAGAGAACGGTGGCATGTGCTAATTATGAGTGTTTTGAAGATGTTAGCCAAAAGTTTAGCAGAAAAACACCCTGGAAAAGTTCACCAGAATCCTTCCCCACCACAATAATGCTCTTTCTTATTCCTTTCATTAAACAAGGGCCATTTTTAAAGTGTTTTGATGGAAAATCATTGGGCTTCCATCCACCTTAGTCCTGCTTTGGCTCCTTCTATTTCTTTTTGTTTCCTAATATTAAAAATATCTTAAAGGGGACCCATTTCTCATCATAAATAATATTTAAAAAAAAGAGACTGCAATGAGATGGTTACATTTCCAGGATCCTCAGCTCTTCAGGAATGAACTAAATGGCCGATATCATTGCTTACAAAAATGTTTGGACTTGGATGGAGCTCATGTTGAGAAATAAAGGTCATATTTTTATCTTTTAATTCTAAGTTTTTGAAGTCCCACCATATTTTACTGGGTTTGGGGTGAACGTTTACACAGCAGTTTGGGTTCGAACTCACAGCACTAGTTACATTCTCCACAGTGTGAGCCCATTCTCATTATGTCTATCCTACTTTGTCAGTTTTCACTCAGATATTTCCTTGCCCCCTCACATTCTCTTCTTTGATTTAATCCTTTGTTTTTTCTTTTTTATTTTGTTTTGTGATATAAGTGATTGCTTTATAACAGGACAATATTTATGAGAGATATTTATTGATTTGTTATTTCTCAAGACTCTGTTAATTAAATATGATTGTTGTTTTAGGAAATATTTGTATAGATAGCCCCTAGATTAGGTTTAATTTCATGATATATTACAATAAGACTATTTTATTTTTAAGAATGAGGACTTCTTGCTCAGGTTAAATTAGTTTTGCAACATAGAGAAAGAATAATCGTAAATCCAACCATATATCAGGTGGTCTAGGGTGCATTTATAATGATTACCTCTGTCAATATTATCATTCACATTTAAATTCTCTTAGATTACAACCACCTTCCATCAATCTCAAAAACAGCCTTGCAGAGGTGAGGTAACTGGGAGGGAGAGATCACGTCAGACCACGACAGACATGAAGCAGAACCTGAGCTTCTGGTCTTGCTCGGGGGTCATGTTTGGTACATGGATGAATTATCTTCCATGTAAAGGATTTTTACCACACCCATATTCTAATTTTCTGAATCTGGATTTCAGTGAAGTTGATATCCTTACTCCCTATAGTTGAAGTATGTGAAAGTGGCCAGAATTCATGAGATGAGGAACGGTTACCTATAAAAGTAACAATTCACAGAGTAGGATATTATGAATTCACAATTACTTTCCCATCACTGATCAACTTGGAGCATAAGACTGGTCTTGACTTGGGGTTGATAAATAGGATAGGAGTTACATAAACAGCTACTTTAGAAGAACCTCTCTAAAGATGAATAGAAAAACAGAAACAGATCAAAGCAGCAAGAGTAGACTAATTTTAAGGACTCCCCCCCACCCCCAGTAACTCCAATAAGATCTTAGGTGGGTTTTTGACATTACTACCAGTTAGCAATTATATGTATAATATACATAGTAATATTTATAATGAGATGACAAATAGACAAAGTGACAGACACACTAGTGAGACACTTAATCACATATATGTGAAATATATATATACAGACACATATAAGAAAAACTATGCTTATATAAATGAGAAATCTGAGTTTTTATATAGCAACAACAATAAAATACTTCTACAGAGATAAAGTCCACCAGTAACAAAGGGAAGTTTCACAACTTATATATCAGATGACAAAGATCCTGAAATGACCAATTCTGCCATTTCAGTGTCACTAGTACTAGCTAATATCAGAAGCTAAAGTCTACATTTAGCACTGATGTCATATGACCTATTTTGCAAAACCAGAAACATTAATACTAATCACCCACTATCAGTAACACCAAGAACCGTGTGCAGTTCGGTATTAACGTTGCCCAGTACAATATCTGGGCAGACCTTGAGAGAGGCCCTGCCCTGCTGGCATTCAGCCTCAGGGACGTTTTCTGTGGCACTTCAAAGATTAGGAGAAACAAAAGCAAACCAGGTAGAGAAGAAATGGTAACCACCTTTGTACAGCTTTAAAAAATAACATAATTTTATCCGGTCATAGAACTTATTTTGTAACTCTAGATCAAATTTTCCATCTCTGTGGATTTTCAAGGGAAAATAAAGCATTTATTTCCTTTGCTTTTTATCTTACTATAAGACCATGCAACAAAATGCTGGCCTTCAATGATATTTATTATTAAGTTCTGACAATTTGATCCTTCAAGTGTTCTGTATGATATTAAATACTGTTTTACTTAAATTACTATATTGAAGAAATATCTATATTAAAACTTAATTGAGATGAAAATTTTTAAGTAACTTACATTTAAAAAAACAATGTAATTCAGAATTCTGTCAAACTAAAGGTTTGTTTTAAAGAAAATTATCGTTATGATAAAATTTTAATCATGTTACATAAAGCCATGAAAATAAGTTTTCTATTCATTATCTAATATGATACTAAACGTTTGGAGACATCAAGACACAAAGTGAGTAAATGATAGATTCACTGGAAGAAGTATTTCTAGTGTTACTATTTTTCATGCAGTTTGAAAAACATGTATTGAATACAATGATCATTTATTGAGAAATTATCTTCACTGAAAGAAATAAGATTTTCATTTTTTAAAAGAGATTTGGGTTTTCAATTGTCCTTTTTCTTTGTTGAGATGATCTTCACCTCCCCACAAAATAACCAGTTCCTGTGTAGGGAGAAACACACTGAGCATGCACACCTGGCTAGTTTGCTCCTTTCCATACGTCCCTTCCTCCTGTCAATGGGTTGGGCTTTGTCAAGTCCAGCAAAACATTTCATTTCACGTCCATTAAAAAAACTTTAAAAGATGAAGATTATGGTTAGCAGAGAAAAAATGCCACCTACTTTGCTTTAGCTTCTGCGTCCTCGTAAGCTTTATTAGAAACATCATCCAATCCACCAATCAAATGCTTGAAAGAGCTGTAAGAGGAAAATCACAACGATTAGGGAAAAGGCACTACAAAGGAATAACAAGGACAGCCTAGTCAGTGGGTTCCAACCACAAATGTATTCAAACACTTTGGACACATCTTTAGGAAAGATAATAGTGGTATTTGTCCTGCTTAGACGAATATTAGCATGAGGAGAACTGAGAACTCTTCCATCTTGTTCACCTGTCGGACTTCCATTCCCTCGAGCCGGGACTTGTGCATGCATAAGCTTCACCTAGAGAGCTCTTTAAGAATCACCTGAAGCCGTGTTCAAATGTAGATTCTGGTGGAGAATATATTTGCAGTGTCAGCAAGGGGTCAAACTGAATGAACAAGTAGAAATCCCTATGTAGAAACTTAGCTGGAAAAAGCAAACAGGCCAAGATTTAGGTGGTATGAAATCTATAACATATTAATTGATATTCATTACAAAGCTAATACGTCATTTAATTCTCAGTTGAACTAATGAGATTGACTAACTAGTCCAAATTGACTCAATGGCAGTGAGTTTGGTATTCTTTGGACCAACTGTGGCATGTCAAATGTATTTAAATTAATATTTGCTACTATCAGTTACTATTGAATTGATTCTAATTCAAGGTCACTCTACCTATGACAAAGTAGTACTACACCATAGTGTTTCTCAAACATGGAGTCACCATGAGTTGTAACCAACTCAATGGCAATGGATTTTATTTGGTTTGGTTTGCTGGTGTGTATTAATTTGAATGAAAGAAGATCTCAGGCTTTATGTGGTACTTCGGAGTGGGTGTAAACTGCTCGTCTCCTGGCTAGCAGGCAGGCACACATGATCTGTACCATCTGTGGGGTTGGGTGCGGCCTAGTTGAGCCCTGGTGGCCCAGTGTTTAAACCCTTTGCAGCAAAGACCCGGATGGCTGCTCCTGTAAGAACCACCACTTGAGAAACATCTGGGGCGGCTCTGCTCTGTCTTTAAGGACTGCTGGGGGTGGGTGTGGGGGGGCCACCTACAGGCCTTAAGTCGGCATTTTCACATGTAATTCCAATTTATAAATATTTAAAATAAAGTGTAACGTCAGGCATCATTATCCCCACTTAACATTGAAGTAACCCAAATATGCAGAAGATATAAAAATGACTAACCAGTGAGAATTAGAGAAAAAATCAGCATAATTTTAGGAGTAGAGACAGAAACATAAGCATAAACCAGGAAAAGTAGTGCAGCTCTGTAAAGTGAAACTGGACAATACCGACCATACACCCAAACTCTACATAAATATATTTTACATAGCGAGGTCTCATCTATTGCATATAGTTATGCTACAAAACACTATGGATTCAGCAGAGAATGGCCAAAGCAATCTACAAATATACATACTTAAAATCATCCTTGAAAATTTCTGAATTTAACCCAATAAAACTCATGCAAGCTCCATTTGGGTGATAAACGAACAAAAAGGAAAGTCTATGTTCAAAAGTGCAGGCATCCACATAATTTGAGTTCTCACGAACACTCTGTTTCATACCAGGCATCGTTCTACAGACAGCTTGGAAGTGTGAAGACTGGCAGGGATTTTCTACTTGCTCTTCATGTCTGCAAATAGACCCTGCTTGTCCTATCCAAATCACTGGGCATTGAAGATGCGAGCCAATCCCTAGTGATATTGGGGATGTGGGTAGAAAAGTAAAAATGGCTGTGAGAAATTATAACTTTAAACTATTTTAATCTCAATGCCTATAAATGGATTTGTTTTAAAATAATAAGTATAGTCAGATCCTGAAACAGTTAATTGATTTAAATTTAAATCTTGCTTAGTCTAACAAATTTTGTTAGTCAAACAAAAAACATGTATGTTTTTTCTTTGAACACCCGCAGAGAGGAACTTGACACCCCTGGCCAAGTCCATGAGCTTACGATGGCATAGGTGGGCTGAGTAACTGAAATGCTTGACTACACCCCTCCCGGCTGCCCTCATGTGGACACCACCTTCGGGAGACCCCATTATGGCAGAGTAGAACTGAGTACTCTAGAGTCTCCAGTGGCTGAGTTCTCAGTACTAGATACTCGGGCCTTTCCTCTGAGTAGCTCTCAGTGGATTCAAACCACCACGCTTTGGGTTGCATCTCCCAATGGCTCTAGATCAGTAGCTAAACTTAGAAAAATAGCTCTTAGAGAAATTCTTTTATTTTTTAGACTGTCTACTCCATATTTAGTTAGGTTTCTTTTTCTTCTCTTTTCTTTTTTTAAAAATCATTTTATTAGGGACTCATACGACTCTTATCACAATCCATACATACATCAATTGTGTAAAGCACATTCATTGCCCTCATCATTCTCAAAACATTTCCTCTCCACTTAAGCCCCAGGCATCAGGTCCTCATTTTCCACTTCCTCCCCGCTCCCCCTCCCCCCTCCCTCAAGAGCCCTTGATAATTTATAAATTGTTATTTTGTCATATCTTGCCCTGCCCAACGTCTCCCTTCACCCACTTTTCTGTTGTCCATCCCCCAGGGAGGAGGTCACATATAGATCCTTGTAATTGGTTTCCTCTTTCCAACCCACTCTCCCTCTACCTGCCCAGTATCGCCACTCACACCACTGGTCCTGAAGGGATCATCCGCCCTGGATTCCCTGTATTTCCAGTTCCTATCTGCACCAGTGTACATCCTCTGGTCTAGCCAGACTTGCAAGGTAGAATTCGCTTCATGATAGTGGAGGGAGGGAGGAAGCATTTAGGAACTAGAGGAAAGTTGCATTTTTCATCGTTGCTACATCACACCCTGTCTGGCTCGTCTCCTCCCTGAGACCCCTCTGCAAGGGGATCTCCAGTGGCCTACAAATGGGCTTTGGGTCTCCAATCTGCACTCCCCCAAAATTCTCTAAGATGATCCAGGCTGATTCATATTATAAAGTAAACTATAATATTTCTTTTTCTATGAAAACAGAATACCTGATTCATTTTCTGTTTTGTGAATAATAGCAGACTTTAAGCATAGAAAATTTAAGCTATTTGCTCAAGACAATTAAAGTTTTGCAGCACTTCCATTGCTATTCAAGAGTCCTGGTGACATTGTTGCAGGAGAAATATGGGGCTTTCTACTCCTTTAAGGAGCTATAAAGTTTCAGCAAGCTGAAGAAGCACTGGTAGCACTCGCTTGTCTATGTCAGAATATTTGGAAGACATCTACTTGGCCAATTAACTGGAAGACATCCATATTTGTGCCCATTCTATAGGAAGGTGAGTCAAAGAGTGCTCAAACTTTAGAACAGTATAATTGATATAACATGCATGTAAAATTTTTCTTAAGATCATCCAACCACAGTAGCAGCAATACATTGACTGGGAACTACCCGAAGATCAGCCTGGATTCAAAGAGGACATGGCAGAAGGGATAACATTGCTTATGTCGGATGGATCTCTATGGTGACCAGATTTAAAGCAGGACACCATTGACTGGTGGGGGGGGCATTCTTCATTAAAAATTTGATCTATATGGACCAAATAGACAAACAGACCGTTCCCCAGCTTGTCATGCATTATTTCCAAAACTCGGGACTTTTTTAAAACACCAAAAAGTGGGACTGTCCCACCAAAAGCGAGATGTCTGATCACCTTAATCTTGGCTCACAGCAGAAAATACCAGAAATAAGTTTACTTGTGTTTAATTGACGATGTGAAGGCATTTGACTGTGGGGACCACAAGAAACTGTGGGTAACCTTGAAGGGAATGGGAATTCCAGAACACTTCATTGTGCTCATGTAGCACTTGTACTTGGATCCAGAGGCAGGTATGCAAAGAGAACCAGGGAATACGGCATGGTTTAAATCAGGACAGGTGTGCCACAGGGCTGTATCCTCTCATCATGCTTGTTCCGGCTCTATGCTGAGCACATCATCAGAGAAGCATGTGGCGTCAGGGTTGGAGGAAGGCTTAATAACAACTTGTGATATGACAAAGACACAACCTTACTTGCTAAAAGTGAGGAGGACTTAAATACTTGCTGATGAGGATCAAGAACTGTCGCTTTCAGTATGGATTACAATTCAATATAAAGATCGAAATTTTCACAACTAAATCAATAGGTAACACCATGACACATGGAGAAAAGATTGACGCTGTCATGGAAGTAGCAATCAAGAGATTAAAAGATGTATTGCATTAGATCAATCTGCTGCACCAGACCTCTTTAGAGTATAGAAGAGCAAGGATGTTACTCTGAGGACTAAGATGTGCCTGCCCCAGGTCATGGATTCTCCATTGCCTCATCTGCAGGCGACATTTGGAAACCGAATAAGGAAGACAGTAGAAGAATCAATGCATTAGAATTGTGGTGCTGGAGAAGAATCTTGGTAGGACCATCTTGAAATAACAAACCGATCTTTTTTGGAAGAAGCAAGGCCAGAATGTTCCTTAGAAGCAAGGGTGACAGGCATCATCTTACATTCTTTGGACATATGGTCAGGAGAGACCAGTCCGGGAGAAGACCATCTCGCTTGGTAGAGCGGAGTGACAGCAAAGGAGGGGAACGGAATGCCCTTGAGGAGATGGACTGACACTGTGGCTGCGTCAATGGGATTGGGCCCAGGAACAAATGCGAGCACGCACAGGACCGTGCAGGGTAAAGTGGGATTGACAGAGAGGAAAGGAAGAGTATTTTGTAACAAAAAATAAAGAGCCAAAAAGAACTTTAAAAAATTCTGTTACATTTTAAGAAATCATGCTGTTAGAAAAACTTACACTACTTTTAAATTCAAACAGAAAACAAACCAACAAAAACACACCACAAACTTTTCTTGCATTCTCCTGGTTGTGCGTATTTGACCTAAAGCTACTTCTAGTAGGAATTACTGAAGAATCCGGGAGGAAACGAGGACGTCAACTTGAAAAATATGAGGAATTTTATTTTATTTTAGAAGATCTGTTCAGGTCATGGGATTATTTCCACAGGTCACTCTTTGAAAATAGGGCTTTGCGTCTCTATTATCGAATTATGCAAAGGTAAAATC